GTAATGCCTGTTATGTCAGGTTCTTAAAACGATCACAGCAACTAATGACAAGATTCGAAGAGTACAGTCTGTACGTTCCCTGACCTTCTCTGCTCTGCCTTTGAGAGAGTGAGTTGTCACCAGGTGAATTAAGTGGGAGTGTATTATGGAAACACAGCCTCCTTGAGATTCCTTTGAATGGGAAACAAGATAGATTTCCCCTCAGAATACTGCTTTTTGGTATGTTCTGCTGCTTGCTGCTGGATAATGGGGCTCTCTAAGGGGTAATGGGTGCAGCTCGACACACTGGTCTCAGCACAAGGGTGCCATTGGATACTGGTGAGATTTCTACAACAATGTCTGGCTGAGGCTTCAGGTTGGGCAGGAGAGGGTCTGGCTGGACTCCCAGAGGCCTGGCTGTGGGCTCACTCCAGCCCTACAGTGCATCCGTGCTGGACAGTGTAGTGCTGGACAGTGTAACCAGATCCCACAGCAGCCCTCGATTTATGCTAGAAGCTCTCTACTCAAGAACAAGGCATTTAATCTTAAAATATAAATTTAAATGAAATGTAGCATAGATATGTTCAGACCCATGTTCTCCTGAGTACTGCTAGGTTAGGATCCACATCTCTGAAACATGAAGAAATGACTAATCAAAGATTGAGAGGAGATATTTTTAATGTAAAACCAACAGCTGGTACCCAGACTATAACACCAATTGTTTGAAAGAGATAGATAAGAAAAAGACAGCCCAAGAAAAGAGGGGAACTAATAGGCAATTCAAAGGTGAGAAACCCCAAAGAGTTAATAAACACTGAGAAAAGATGCCCAACTCACTAGTAAGCAAGACAAAGCAAATGGAAGACACAATGTTATACCCCTCAAAAATCTAAAAATCGGGTAACACTACTAAGTGCCAGCAAGGTTATGGGAAATGGACCTGTTCTACATAGCTAGGAGGAGAATAAGGAGGAGAGCAATTTGGCAAGATTTATTTCAGTTGGAGATTTATTTCAGTTGGAGATTTATTTCAGTTGGAGATGGACCTGTTTGTGGACCCAGCAAACCCATTTCTTGGCATGTTGCAAAGGGAAATTCTTTTTTATTTTTATTTATTTATTTTTAAGATTTTTATTGGGGAATTGAGGAAGGAGAACAGTGTTGGGGAAGGAGAACAGCCAAGTTGTTGTCCTTCAATCTTAGTTGTGGAGGGCGCAGCTAGCTCAGCTCCAAGTCCAGTCGCCATCCGGCCGCCCAACAGCAGTAGCTCCTGGCAGCTCAGCTTAAGGTGCTGTGTTCAAGCTTACTTGTGGGTGAGTGTAGCCCACCATCCCATGCGGGAGTCAAACCGGAAACTTTGTTGCTAAGAGCGCACACTCTAACCACTGAGCAATCCAGCCGCCCATAGGCAACGCAGGGCAGCTCAAGGTGCTGTGTTCAATNGGTGGCATCAAGCCACGGAGGAAGTAGCTTCAGGTTTGAGTTCTTTGTCTGGATTTTGGCACAAACGGATGCTTAGAAATGGATTTTCCGTCATGCAAAACCAGAGGAAAGAACCCTGGCCTCCACTGAGATGCATCCTGGAGGGTAGTGTTCTGTTTCCTTACTCTGCTCTAGTACATTTAACTTGTGGTTTCATTGAGAGTCCTCTACCAAGTGCCAGGGCCACAAAGTCTGTGCCCTCAGTAGGGACTCACAGTCCAAGTAGAGGGAAAAATTAAATAGTCATAAAACAGTGTGATATGTCCTGTTGTTGAGATACGTGCAGTGTGTTTTACAACCACAAAGGAGGGGTATCTAGACTACCTGAGGTGGGGATGGAGGCTTGGAAGGCCTTCTGGGGGAAGTGATACTTGGGATGAGTCTTGAAATATGAGGTGGAATGTTCTAGATGAAAGAGCTGCAGACGCTAGGGGATGTGCACAGCGGTCGTACTACGGCCTCCGCATGCTGTGTGGTGGGGACTTGCAGACGTGAGGCTGAACAGGAAGAGAGGATCAGACCAGGAAGGTTTTCGTGCTCTTTGGTAAGGCACTGAAAATTTTTAATCTACAGGTAGACATGGTCAACCGTTCATTTTAGCCTTTCTGTGTAATGGTGGAAAAACACTGGAGGTAGAGTGTTTAGTTAGTGTTTCGTTAGTAGTGCAGTCGCCCAAGTGACAAATCGGGGGATGGGGGGATCCTTGAACTGGAGCAATGTCAGGGGTGATAAGGAACATTCAAGTGAGATTTAAGAAGTCTTCTCACTTGACAGGACTTAACGGCTGGTTGGGTGTGGGAATGAGGGAAAGCACGATTCCAGGTCCTTCGTTGGGCGGCCATGTGGGTGAATGGTGGCATCATTCTTGCAGTGGGAAATTCAGGGGCATGAGCCCTCTGTGCGATATGGGGGCTCTGCCGCCAGACCGTGAGGGTTGGCTGGGGCGATACTGATCATCTTGTCAAAGATGGGGTGGTTCACAGCCAGACACAGAAAAGATTTTGATAAGAAAGTCTAACCAAGGCCAGCCTGCTGTCCATTGCACTCTTCTTTGCTGTGATAGGTCAAATGCAGTGAGTCCTCTTCATCTGGATTCCATTTGATTCTTACCAAAGCTCCCGAGGGAGGCGATTCCACTCAATCACCCCAGAGTCAGTTCTGGGTCCTCAAGTGCCTGACATTTGATTGCTCCTTGGATCACAGGGGTTTGTACTCGGGGATGATTATTCTGGGTTTCTCTTCCTCCTTCTTTTCCTTGTTTGTATCTTACCTGCAATTCCTTTTTCCTCCTTTCCTTCCACCTGCTTCCAGAGCACGTTGCTGAGTGAAGAGCCTTTTGCTGCTTTCTTCTTGGTTGCTTTTTTAATTGAGGGGTTTTGCATTCGATGGGCAGAAACTAAATGAATCAGCAACCACATGTGTCACAGACTGGACTCTCTATGTCAAAGGGAAATGGATGTTAGCCATTCCCCTGAGAGCCATGTCTCTCACACAGAATCAGGCACGAGCAGATTCTCTCGGTGTTTTGGCTCATCCCTGTGTGGTGGCAAAGGAACAGGGACTGGCAGTGATTCCTGGGGCCAGTTCCCAGGCTTCTTTGAGGTGGTNCCATGGAAGGTGGTAGGCCCCCATCGCCAGGAGACGAGCTGGAGCTCTCAGCGCTCAAGCAGCAGCCAGATGAGCAGACGCCTCTTAATGGAGCCGCTCAGGTCATCCCTTTTTCGGCGGAGGACCCCGGTCCCTCCCAGGTAAGGTTTCCTTGGCGCTGACTGGGTCTTCCCAGCGCGCTCAGAGCCCGAGTCCCCGCCAGGATTCTGCCCTGCCACCCAGTGTCGGGTTTCCAGCCAGCTCTCCCCGCGCCACCGACGCCGATGCCGAGCTAGGGTGGTGCGCGCTGGGAAGTTCTAAATGGAGCTGACACTGGAATGTCCCCCAGCTTGAGACCCCACCCCACCCTACCCTACCCCAGCCCCTCCGACCCCTCCAATCTCCATGAAACTTGAGGTATCCTACCTAGGAGGTGTGTGGCTCCTTTCTTCTGAGAGAAAATCCCCAGAGAAAGAAAGAGGTCGTTTAAAACAAGCCCTGTAACTTTTAATTTAGTTTTTTTTTTCTCTCAAATAGAGAAAACTAGAGTGATTTCTTCAGAATCTCTTTGCCTACCTCTTTACTCCCTTTCCGCGTCCACTCACCCTCCACCTTCCTCCTAACTCTCACCCACCATCACCCAGCCTGGCGCACATCCGCTGGACACACACTTTTAATTTTTTCCCAGTCTGGCCATTTGATTTCACAGCAAGAGAGATACGGGATAGTGGGGAAAGCAGCAAGAACAAGAAGGGCTAGGGGGTGAACTTGCCCTGCTCAACTGAAGGGAAGTAATTTCAAAGTTCTTTTCTCAAAGAACTAGACTGCACCTCATTTCTTCTGTCTTATCTCAGTCTCTAAGGAAGTCCTTGGTGATGTTTAGGCTGAACTCTTTACTGGTTAAACCCGAGCAGTGACAAGAGCATTATTTATTCTCATCAAATGCTTGAAAAACAGCAGAGACTGAATTCTCAGCCATCTACCTTGTGATTAACCTGTAAGACTGGCTTGAGGTTTACTGGGTACATGGAACTCCATATATACCCGGGGTGCCAAAAATATATATATATATGCATTTTAAGAAATGTTATCTATGCTCAAGCAGTAGTTTGTAATCAGAAATGTCTGGATGCTGATGGTAACCACTTTGAGCACCTCTTATAATTGTAGAGGTCAAATGTGACTTGTATTCATCTTTTGTTATC